CTCGATGCTCAAGGTCACGTTTCTGGACGTCACCATGGTGACCAGAGCACTGTCTGATGGCCTGGCCATCTCTTACTACTTCATCAACCCTCGACAGATTGAGCCTGAACGATTCACTTACATAACACCTTGTTGGACATGCTACTCATATAGCCACTTTACTGCCGACTGCCACGTGAAGAATAAGAAGATATGTTCCACCTGTGGGTCTGCAGATCACGACTTTCGCTCCTGCACTTCCACTGCTGCTCCCGCCTACATCAACTGTAAGAGTGATCACCATACTCTTGCAGCCAAATGTCCAGTACGCAAGGATATCCTCTCTAAGAAACTGAAAGAAGAAACTAAAAAGTCTACAGGAAACTCTCCTATTTATGCTGCTATAGCTAAGCTTCAGACGACCACCACCAAGATTCTACAAGCCACTCAGCAACCTCCACCACTCACAGCCTCTCCTCTACCGAACGATATTTCCACAAAATTCTACTACTGCCTGATGTATGCACACATGCAAAATGCAGCTAACCCGGGTTGTTTCAATACAACTATGAATGATATTCTTGCCCTCAACAATCTGCCATCATTCAACTTTCCAGCTAGTCCTGCTTCAGCTGATGTTTTGAAGATTATCCCAAAAATCGTCAGTTTCGAGGCACCAGATGACTTGCAAGATTTGATTTCTGCAGAAGCCCCCTGCTCTACTTTGCAATCCACCAATGAGAGACCACCACCTCCTCCAGCCACCGCCACTGCCAAGAACCAATCAGAGCTCTCAATGCATCACGTGCTTCCGCCTTCCTCCACCAATGAGAAACCGCCTCCAACGCCAGCCACCGCATCCATCAAGACACGAGCAGCGTCATCGTCTTCCAACCCCAACGAAACTGACCAATCATCGACTTCACTTGTCGCTCACTCTAAGGATAAACAACACTATAATACGATACGTGGAGTCTCCTTCTTTACTACTCCTGAGTATCCTAAAGAAATGGATGCAAAGACATTGATCTGGAGAAGTACCCTGACTTTGCTAGCTGTAAATAATGCATTACCATGTGTGTGTGTACTCACCTAGTTGAAGTTGCGGGGGTCGAGTCCGAGCTCCTGGCGTGTGTGTGTGTGTGTGTGTGTGTACTCACCTAGTTGAGGTTGCAGGGGTCGAGTCCAAGCTACTGGCCCCGTCTCTTCACTGGTCGCCACTAGGTCACTCTCCCTGAACCGTGAGCTTTATTGTACCTCTGCTTAAAGCTATGAATATTGCTGGAATATGGCTGGAGTATTGCTGCACACTAACAGCACCTTTCAAGGCAGGTGAAATTGCCGACCTAGAAAATGTACAGAGAACCTTCACGGCGCGCATAACGGAGATAAAACACCTCAATTACTGGGAGCGCTTGAGGTTCCTGAACCTGTATTCCCTGGAACGCAGGAGGGAGAGATACATGATTATATACACCTGGAAAATCCTAGAGGGACTAGTACCGAACTTGTACACGAAAATCACTCACTACGAAAGCAAAAGACTTGGCAGACGATGCAACATCCCCCCAATGAAAAGCAGGCGGTGTCACTAGCACGTTAGAGACCATACAAAGTGTCAGGGGCCCGAGATGTTCAACTGCCTCCCAGCACACATAAGGGGGTTACCAACAGGACCCCTGGCAGTCTTCAAGCTGCACTGGACAAACACCTAACAGTCAGTTCCTGATCAGCGGGCTGTGCTCGTACGTTGGTTTGCGTGCAGCCAGCAGCACAGCTGGTTGATCAGGCTCTGATCCACCAGGAGGCCTGGTCACAGACCGGGGCCGGGGGCGTGACCCCCGGAACTCTCTCCAGGTAAACTCCAGGTATGTATGGATCCGCTCCACTACATCGCTTCCCAAACTATTCCACTTGCTGACTACTCTGTGGCTGAAGAAATACTTCCTAACATCCCTGTGATTCATCTGTGTCTTCAACTTCCAACTGTGTCCCCTTGTTGCTGTGTCCCATTTCTGGAACATCCTGTCTTTGTCCACCTTGTCAATCCTTCAGTATTTTGTATGTCGTTATCATGTCCCCCTATCTCCTGTCCTTCATGTGTGTCAGGTCGATGTGTGTGTGTGTGTGACCGCCGAACCCCGGAGTCTGACTCACCGAACCCCTGGGGTTCGGTACCTAACTCAGCACTGGTACTTAACTCAGCACTGGTACCTAACTGTTCAACTGCCTCCCAGCACACATAAGGGGGATTACCAACAGACCCCTGGCAGTCTTCAAGCTGGCACTGGACAAGCACCTAAAGTCAGTTCCTGATCAGCCGGGCTGTGGCTCGTACGTTGGTTTGCGTGCAGCCAGCAGCAACAGCCTGGTTGATCAGGCGCTGATCCACCAGGAAGCCTGGTCACAGACCGGGCCGCGGGGGCGTTGACCCCCGAAACTCTCTCCAGGTAAAACTCCAGGTAACTCAACACTGGTACTTAACTCAGCACTGGTATTTAACTCATCACTGGTACCTAACTCAGCACCGGTACCTAACTCAGCACTGGTACCTAACTCAGCACTGGTACTTAACTCAGCGCTGGTACCTAACTCAGCACTGGTACTTAACTCAGCACTGGTAGCTAACTCAGCACTGGTACCTAACTCAGCACTGGTACTTAACTCAGCACTGGCACTTAACTCAGTACTGGTACCTAACTCAGCCCCGGTACCTAGCTCAGCACTGGTACCTAACCCAGCACTGGTACTTAACTCAGCACTGGCACCTAACTCAGCACTGGTACTTAACTCAGCACTGGTACTTAACTCAGCACTGGTACTTAACTCAGCACTGGTACTTAGCACTGGTACCTAACTCAGCACTGGTACCTAACTCAGCACTGGTACTTAACTCAGCACTGGTACGTAACTCAGCACTGGTACTTGACTCAGGGCTGGTACTTAACTCAGCACTGGTACTTAACTCAGCACTGGTACCTAACTCAGCACCGGTACCTAACTCATCACTGGTACCTAACTCGGCACTGATACTTAACTCAGCACTGGTACTTAACTCAGCACTGGTACTTAACTCAGCACTGGTACTTAACTCAGCACTGGTACCTAACTCAGCACTGGTACTTAACTCAGCACTGGTACTTAACTCAGCACTGGTACTTAGCACTGGTACCTAACTCAGCACTGGTACTTAACTCAGCACTGGTACTTAACTCAGCACTGGTACCTAACTCAGCACTGGTACTTAACTCAGCATTGGTACCTAACTCAGCACTGGCACTTAACTCAGCACTGGTATTTAACTCAGCACTGGTACCTAACTCAGCACTGGCACTTAACTCAGCACTGTCACTTAACTCAGCACTGGTACTTAACTCAGCACTGGTACTTAACTCAGCACTGGTACTTAGCACTGGTAGCTAACTCAGCACTGGTACTTAACTCAGCACTGGTACTTAACTCAGCACTGGTACCTAACTCAGCACTGGTACCTAACTCAGCACAGGCACTTAACTCAGCACCGGTACTTAACTCAGCACTGGTACCTAACTCAGCACTGGTACCTAACTCAGCACTGGTACTTAACTCAGCACTTTTACTTAACTCAGCACTGGTACCTAACTCAGCACCGGTACCTAACTCAGCACTGGTACTTAACTCAGCACTGGTACTTAACTCAGCACTGGTACCTAACTCAGCACTGGTACTTAATTCAGCACTGGTACCTAACTCAGCACTGGTACTTAACTCAGCACTGGTACTTAACTCAGCACTGGTACCTAACTCAGCACTGGTACTTAACTCAGCACTGGTACCTAACTCAGCACTGGTACTTAACTCAGCACTGGTACTTAACTCAGCACTGGCACCTAACTCAGCACTGGTACTTAACTCAGCACTGGTACTTAACTCAGCACTGGTACTTAACTCAGCACTGGTACTTAGCACTGGTACCTAACTCAGCACTGGTACCTAACTCAGCACTGGTACTTAACTCAGCACCGGCACTTAACTCAGCACTGGTACTTAACTCAGCACTGGTACTTAACTCAGAACTGGTACCTAACTCAGCACTGGTACTTAACTCAGCACCGGCACTTAACTCAGCACTGGTACTTAACTCAGCACTGGTACTTAACTCAGCACTGGCGCTTAACTCAGCACTGGTACTTAACTCAGCACTGGTACCTAACTCAGCACTGGTACCTAATTCAGCACTGGCACTTAACTCAGCACTGGTACTTAACTCAGCACTGGTACCTAACTCAGCACCGGTACCTAACTCAGCACCGGTATTTAACTCAGCACTGGTACTTAACTCAGCACTGGTACCTAACTCAGCACTGGTGCTTAACTCAACACTGGTACTTAACTCAGCACTGGTACTTAACTCAGCACTGGTACCTAACTCAGCACTGACACTTAACTCAGAACTGGCAAACTCACCACTGGCACTTAACTCAGCACTGGTACTTAACTCAGCACTGGTACCTAACTCAGCACTGGTACCTAACTCAGCACTTGCACTTAACTCAGCACTGGTACTTAACTCAGCACTGGTACTTAACTCAGCACTGGTACTTAACTCAGCACTGGTACTTAACTCAGCACTGGTACCTAACTCAGCACTGGTACCTAACTCAGCACTGGTACTTAGCACCGGTACCTAACTCAGCACCGGTACCTAACTCAGCACTGGTACTTAACTCAACACTGGTACTTAACTCAGCACCGGTACCTAACTCAGCACCGGTACCTAGCTCAGCACCGGTACCTAACTCAGCACCGGTACCTAACTCAGCACCGGTACCTAGCTCAGCACCGGTACCTAACTCAGCACCGGTACCTAGCTCAGCACCGGTACCTAACTCAGCACTGGTACCTAGCTCAGCACCGGTACCTAACTCAGCACCGGTACCTAGCTCAGCACCGGTACCTAACTCAGCACCGGTACCTAGCTCAGCACCGGTACCTAACTCAGCACTGGTAAACGAGGCCCCGAGGTTATTAAAAAAAATACAAATAAATATAGTTTATTATATACTTCACATTGAACGTTGACTTGCGCGACGGTCAACATTTATAAACATTGAACACACATGTATACACTGACACACATGTTTAATATAACAATGTGTTGACTCCTGAGTAAATAGTTGATATGTGTATGATGGTCCACCTCACTGCCAAGCCTGCCAGGTATATGTGTATGATGGTCCACCACACTACCAAGCCTGCCAGGTACATGTGTATGATGGTCCACCTCACTGCCAAGCCTGCCAGGTATATGTGTATGACGGTCCACCTCACTGCCAAGCCTGCCAGGTATATGTGTATGACGGTCCACCTCACTGCCAAGCCTGCCAGGTATATGTGTATGACGGTCCACCTCACTGCCAAGCCTGCCAGGTATATGTGTATGATGGTCCACCTCACTGCCAAGCCTGCCAGGTATATGTGTATGATGGTCCACCTCACTGCCAAGCCTGCCAGGTATATGTGTATGATGGTCCACCTCACTGCCAAGCTGCCAGGTTATGTGTATGAAAAAGGGCCACCTCACTGCCAAGCTGCCAGGTATATGTGTATGACGGTCACCTCATCCAAGCCTGCCCGGTATATATGTATGACGGTCCACCTCACTGCCAAGCCTGCCAGGTATATATGTATGACGGTCCACCTCACTGCCAAGCCTGCCAGGTATATATACAGATGACACAGTATATGATATACGTACTATTAATATACATGTAATTGATTTCTTTCTTAACTGCTACTACCAATTTCATCCTGGTAAAGTATTGAGCTAATGGCCTTTTTTTTAATTATGTAAATTCAATAATATTGCGAGAGTTATTTAATGGAAATTGTTATACTTTTGGCGTATGGGAACAACGTAACTTTTTAGTAACCCAGAAAATGTTACCTAACCTAACCCAAACTAAATTCTAACTCCTAATTTAGGTTTGGTTAGGTTAGGTTGTTTTCTATTAATGTTGGATACCCAAAAGAAAAAAAAATTCTTACATAGGACCAAAATATAACCGTGTTAATTGCACATCTCACTTAGTATCCAAAAGTCTATATAGTAACCTATTAATAAGCTTAAAAATATAACCATAAACTCAATACTGACTTAGTCCCTGGTGCTCAAGCTCTCGCTTCATACGGCGAGGGTTTGGGTTCGATTTCCAGCCAGGGTAGAAACATTGGGCGTGTTTCTTTACACCGGTTGTCTATGTTCACTCATCAGTGAAATGGGTACCTGGGTGTTAGTGTACTGGTGTGGGTCGCATCCTGGGACAAAACTGACCTAATTTCCCCGAAATGCTCTGCATAACAAGCGGCTTTCTAAATAGTGGTATGTCAATGTTGTCAACTAGACCTGTATACCTTGTACATGTACTTGTAGTAAATAAAGATATGATTATTATTATTATTATTATTATTATTATATATGCACAGGATGTATACACTAAGATATGTATTTCTTTCTGTGTATAATTATATATTAGAGTTTTTTTACTTCCATATTTTAGGGTTGAAGTAGTCTTACCTGGTGACGATAATGTTATATGCAGCTTTATTTAAGACTTTATTATAGTCATTAGGCTTTAATTTCCGTTAACTTAGTATACTTAATGACCTGAATGACTTTCATTCTGAAATGCTATATTTCAAATTCACAAAAATAAAAAAGTACTAGAGAGGTCGAGGAAAGGAAAGTCTTTGACAATTTTGTATGATGTAGCAGTGATACTGAGGTGTAAATTATGTCTGCTGACAAACAAAAATAATAAACACTATCTTGTACATAATAGAAATACAAGATGGCGTTTGTAAATAATATGAGCTAATATAAAAATATTTACCTTTCTAGCACTTCTATTAAATTTTACACTTCGTCCAATATAATACATACTCACAACGCATGAGACTGAATGTGAAGTTTTATGAGGAAAGTGATGAGGATTTATGCGTCACTAGTAGACTTAGTAATATTTAGTGAAGTGTGGCTAGTAGGAGCCTCCTCGAACACGTCTTCTTCGTCCACACTTGGTAACGACACTCCTCCGAAGGTTGCTAGAGACGATTTCCGTCTCCCTCCACCACTGATTTCATTATCCAATTCGAATCCCTCGCAATCTGACGACGCTGAAGACGCGGAACTTCGTCTTGTGTCAATCTGGCTGATGGAGTGTGCCACACGGGGGTGTACTCGAGTCCGACCAGTCGCAGTATCTGCTCGAGAATCATGAGAATGTGAGCTGCTAATAGAGGAAAACTGCGTTATGGTGGTGGCAATAGACATATTGCGACGTCCGGGGCCCCGTACCTCAGATCCGCTCCCACCGCCAATAGACGACTGGTGGTTACCAGATGACACAGTGCCATCCCTGGCACGGGTGCTCTTGCCTGGAAAGTTGACCCCCGCCAAGGAGCCTCCCAAGTTGCTGAAGACGCGAGCCAGCTTGACACGGTTCTCTGGAGTCAGCACGAGGATATAGAAGATACCTACCCCTCGCAGGGCATTGACGCTGGAAGGTAGATACCAGAGATAGTCGTACCACGACCCTGTGGGCTCAGCGATATACTGGGCCACAACGAAGGCTATCACCTCCATCAGCCATGTGGCTCCAGACCATACCACCAGCTTCACCGATTCTGTCCACCTGTGAGAAACACATTTTGTCAGCCATTGTACATTCGCGAAATATTACTACTATATTATATAATATTACACTACACTGCCATATATAGGCACCACCTGGTTCTACATGTGAGATATAAAACAGGAGAGTTAATATTAGTATCGTCGATGACCAATAAATATAAAATAATGCCCAAACAAATTTTCTAGTTAAGCTGCAGCGCTGTATGACCCTTACGGATTTAGCGCTTAGTTATGATTATAATAATAATTCCCACTAAGCTATCCGAAAGAAATTTCAATTACGCCAACTGAAGTGAGATAAAAGTTTTATTATTATTATTATTATTATTATTATTATTATTATTATTATTAAGCTTTAAACCCGCCAGTCATACACTGCTAAGCGATAAAGAAAAAGGTTGTGCAACAGACCCCTGGCAGTCTTCAAGCTGGCACTGGACAAGCACCTAAAGTCAGTTCCGGATCAGCCGGGCTGTGGCTCGTACGTTGGTTTGCGTGCAGCCAGCAGCAACAGCCTGGTTGATCAGGCTCTGATCCACCAGGAGGCCTGGTCACAGACCGGGCCGCGGGGGCGTTGACCCCCGGAACTCTCTCCAGGTAAACTCCAGATGGAGAACGCAAGGAGGCAGAAATGATACGATAAGCCATTATCATCTAAGAAATCACACGAGGAATCAGTATTAAAAGCGGGACTATTGGTAACAACAGTCATAGGGAGGATTCTGCTCTTGACTCTTGCCCTGGCAGGTCATAGTAGCTCTCCTTACTTACTCTGTCTCCCTACGATCCCCGTTGGGGAGGGGAACCTTTACCAGCGTCGTCTTCACCGTGACTTACACGATGAGCTACGCAAATCGTGTAAAGATCAAGCCAAAAAGTGGTACCGTTGATGATTCAACGAAGATTGCTCTTGCAACTGTTGTTCAGGGAGCACTGCAAGTTAAATTCAACACCATTTTGTCCCTGAAAGAAGCATTCATTGTGTCACGATGATGCTGAAGCAGAGAAGCTACTCACTACAGAAGCCACCACTACACTTACTGCTCAAGGGTTTACTGTTACGTCATCTCCTGCCCTCAGGGCCAGGAAATCAGTATTCCTTAAAAAACTTGACAAGATTCTGACGTCTCAAACACCTTCAGAACTCAAGACATCCATCGAGACGCAAAATACTTGGGCTACTGTTGACAGCATTACAAAAATCCCGAATGCATCGTCCATGCTCAAGGTCACCTTCACCGACGTCAACATGGCTGCCACTGCTCTGAACGAAGGTCTTGCTGTCTACTACTTCTACATCAGTCCTACCTATATTGAAGCAGAGAGATATCAGTATATCCAACATTGCTGGAACTGTTATTCATACCATCACACCACCAAAGCATGTCCAGTAAAAGACAAGAAGTTCTGCACTACATGTGGTAGTGAGGGACACACCTTCAGTTCCTTCACCGCTGCTGCTCCACCACAACCATCGTGCTTAAACTGGAAGAGCAACGACCACCATACACTGGCAGCAAAATGTCCTACAAGAAAGGATATTGTGAAGAAAGCACAAGATGCAGCAAAGAAAAAACCTACTAGCAACACACCAACGTATGCAGCAATTGCAAAGATACAAGCTAACACTACAAAATTACTTCAAGCTACTACTCAGCCAGCCTCCACCATCACCACCACTCCAACATGTGACGTAACCAAGATCCACTACTGTTTACTATACGCTCACATGCAGAACATGGCTGTACCTGGATCTTTTAACTCTACCATCAACGAGTTATTTGCACTAAATAATATGCCATCATTCATATTCCCAGCATCTCCACCTTCGGAAGAAATACTAAAATTCACCAAGGACCTAATCAACACCTCTACGCCAGCAGCTCCAACACCATCAACAACTAGTGACGTCACTCCAACAACGTCCAATGAGAAGTCTCCATCGCCTCCACTCCTCAAAGAAACCGACCAATCAGAAGCCTTTCCACCAGAAACATCCTCTCATTCGTCCATTGAAGATGAAGTAGAAAATGTACATTCACCAGCACCAACAATACCATCCCAAGACCCAAGATTCGATACTGTACCAGATGAAGATACCGACAAGTATATTGATTAGGGTGGAATATCTTTCTGTACCATAGCAAATCATCCTCAAGACATGGAGCCAGCTGAACTCAAATCTCACCTCATCCAAAAAACAGTCAAGTTTGTTGAACATTCCGACCGTGCTTGTAAAACTGAACTTTCACAACTTATAAAGCATGCTGAACAATGCATCAAAGACCCTCGATATCGACACTTGTTAACTCGTCTCATGATAATTCCTCTCCAACGATTTAAACGTCTTGAAAATGGAACAGCACTCACCACGGACAATTACTTCGTAAAAAAACGCCACAATTCCAAATAACCACCAAGCCATTATGAAATGACCAATCAACGTTGAGCTCCTCCCTTGTCGCCTGCAGCCACCAATCACCATCAAGAAGCAGCAATCTTCCATCCAACAAGTTGCAGTCAGCACCGCAGAGTTCCTGTTGTCTACATCGTCTTTCGTCATTGTTATTCAGGCTTAGCAGTTGGGTCTAGTCCTGACTCTTCTCTCTTCGACTCAAGACATTCCTCTCACCGTCTATTCTTCGCACTGTCCCCACTTGCCCCTCGCCCCTCGTGGGTCCTTACCTGTGAGTCCGATCTGATCTGATCTGATCAACAGTCATATTAAGGGCGTCTGCGTGTCGAAAAACGAGACCTTTTGATAAGTGGAAGTTAGAAGACTGTCAAAGAAGTCTCACAAACTGGACCTAATCTTTCCTTCTGTGGATCGACCCCAATAACCTAACATTCCACAGCGCTGTGGAATGTTAGGCTTCATAATCACATAAGGCGGTAGGTTGGAAGTGTGTACATGAGGTATCTATGTGAGAGGCATGTATGGTCAACATGTCTTATCTGTAGTTTGATTGAAAACAGCAAGTTGGGCCTCAACGTGGACGAGCGACCTTGCTAATGATCACATATGTGGGTGTAGCGAGTGTATATACTCATAGGTTATGGACCAGATGTAGGTAAGTTTATTCAGGTATACACAAATAGTTACATAGATTATCATACATAACAACATATGTGTAGAGAACCTAGGATAACCCAAAAAAAGTCAGTGACTTATTTCTATTGGTGAGTGTATGTGTGTACTCAGTTTGTGGGTCAGGTGAGTGTATGTATCCATAAGTTGTGAGTCTGGTGAGTATATACACTCACAGGTTGTTTATCAGGTGAATGGAAGTACTCACAGGTTGCGGGTCTGGTGAGTGCGGAGGCCAGAGTGCTGAAGGTTGACAGGCGGGTGGCTGGCGCTGGTAGTGGTATTAGCATTGTCGTCCTTACTCAAGCTGGTGTTACTTTTGGGGTCCTCAGTACCTGTAATACACAGTAAAGCAAAATTTTAAACAGTACAGAGTGCAATGGACAAGTGAACTAGCAGCAACAACACTCACAGAACAGGCATTCTTGAGCTTCCCCAGCGCTCAGACGTTATGTCTAAAGCTGGGGGTGACTACAGAAGGATCCTGTAGTGCTTGCTGCCTTTGCACCTTCTGACATCATCTGCTGCTATGCAGCTGCCACACATTTCGAGCCCAATGTGGACAGGGTTTGTGGTAGTACAAGGTGCCTAGCTTCTCTCTTCGAACCCTGTGGGGGCGGGGAGTGGGGCTAGGCCTGGGGACAGCTGATCCCAGAAGACGAGGAGGTACTTGAGCCTCCCATGGCAGACATTGGTCTGAGACACTCCCGAGAAAGGGAGCCAAGGCCGGGCCACCACTTGGAAAAGGCCCGGGCCAGGCGAATATACCGGCGAATCTACAACAGAACAACATTTAAATAGTATATAACTATAACGACAATTTTTAAAGGGGTGAACCGGTAAGCCAGCGGAAGGCCTCCTTCAGATGACCAAAATCTCAGCTGCGGGTCATCATATAACTAAGACCCGCACCAGAAAACACTTGTTCTGTTTAATAACAAACCTTACCTAACTTAACTTTTAACATTTTAAAACTGCAGCAAGCACAGGACATGTACACAAGAAGGTGTATTTCTCTCAGCGTATTCTGTATAACCTAAGAGTTCACTTTAATCAGTATTTTAGGGATTAAAGTATTCTTGTCTAGTGAGGTTACGTGCAGCCTTAATGACCCTAGAGTAGGCGATAACTTTTTGCCCAATTATCCAACCAATCATTTAAAAACGTAGCAAGCGTGCGTCATTGTGACAAACATACTATTGAAACAAATACCCAAGTAATCAGACCTCTTTCTGCTTTTTAACTTATCTCTTCCCATATACCCACAATTATTTCGCAGTGCTTTTCTACCCTTTCTTATTCTTGCCAGTCCTCCCCCCCCCCAAAAAAAAAATAAAAAATTATTTATCACATCTTACCGTAACCCTCTCCCCATCCCGTCATCATTAGTACCCCGTATTACACTTGTTGACTTGTGCTGTGACTTGTGCTGTTGACATGTCTCTTATGACCTGTGCATTGTAGTGACTATTACCTGTTGTCCTGGACTTGGGTCCTCCATGCTCAAGTCTTCTTAGCTTGGCTGACCTGACGTATCTTGCAGCAGCCAGCAACACAACGTTGGCACTCAGGCTCAGCAACATTGGCACATAGAGGTACACCAGCTTGGCATCCCTGTCTGTGGAAACAAATTATCATTATTATCCCTGTTTCTTTGCCTACCGTCGACAATCTCTGACCATCCTCGTCCCAGACCTGGCCTGTGGTTGGCTAGAAATATTGGGCGTGTTTATTTACACTTGTCTATGTTCACCCATCAGTAAAATGAGTACCTGGGTGTTAGTGGACTGGTGTGGGTCGCATCCCGGGACACTGACCTAATTTGCCCGAAATGCTCAGCATAAGGAGCTTTATATATAATAATAGTATGTCATTCATGTCAGCTAGGACTGTATACCTTGTACATGTACTTGTAGCTAATAAGATATTATTATTATTATTATTATTATTATTATTATTATTATTATTATTATTATTATTATTATTATTATTATTATTATTGTTGTTGTTGTTATTATTAATGTGGTTTAAGCCCTAACCACTACAACTTCATCCTGTTCCGTACTTGTATGTCTCATAACAATAAAAATGCTTTCAAATGAGCTGATGTAGGTAACAGCTCTTAGCTTGCCAATAAAGCTAGGGATCCTTAACCTGTAAATAGCTTGTCAATAAAGCTAGGGATCCTTAAACTTGTCAAACCCTGTGTAAAAAAAAAAAAAAGATTATTAATCAAGGTTGCATATCACAGATCCTCCATTTATTGCCCTAAATATGCATTGCGTCTTCATTAATAAGCCTAACTAATTATCTACGTTGAAAATTACCATAGAGCTACTATGAAACAGAATTACAACTCTGTTTATTAGGAGACATTACCAAATTAACAGTATACCTTGAAATGAGAGGCAGGCTGGGTTGCAACCTCGCCTTATTAAAACATCATAGTTTTGAAAAATAAAGCCTAATACTGTATTTGAAAACACTATTTAGGAAATACTACTAAAGTAATTCAATACTAACTTACAGCATATTTTGTGGGTAGCCCCCCGCGTCCTCTGAGAAGTTACTTGGGCATGTTATAAAACGTCGAATTTTTGTGTCAGGTTTCTTTATTTGTGAGAAGTTGTTGATCTGAGGAACTGAACCTGAGGTCAGTGATCACGTGTGGTCATACCTGTCCTAAGCTCTCTGGGATTAGCGTGGGGTGTTACCTAGCACCATGGCCTGCGTGGGGTTTTTTAGAATCTAAAGGTTCAAGTGTTGAAAAAGGGGGTTCTACTTCAGGGGGAAAATAGGGGCTGAAGCTTTGCCTACAGGGGTTTTTGGGAGTGAGTGTGAGATGGATTTAGTTTGGGTGAGGGGAAAAGGGTTTCACCAGCATTTGTTTAGTGGAAAGCCACTTTAAGTGGAAAGTGGTTCCTTTCGGGGAAAAAGGGAAGTTTAAGGGGGAGTTAACAAAATAAGATGTGAAGGTAGGAAATGGGTTCTCTGTTCTCCGGGAGGGTGTACCCGGGGTTAGGGGGTTTTGAAGGTCCCAAGGACCCCCGGGCCAATCAGGGGTAAGAATTTTTTTAATAGTAGGCGATTCTCAGGTAAGATATATGGCCGTGCTTTTTTAACGAGCAAAAAGGGCCAACAGAGGGGTGCCCCCCGGGGGGAAGCGGGTTTTGGGTGACATAATCGGCAGGTTTTTTTAATTTTTAAATGTCAGGTAAGGGGGAAACAACCCCAAATTATCTGTTTTTTAGTGGCTGGTGGTAAGGGAACACGGGGAAAGGGCAAGGGACAGGGCTACTGGAAAAGGGTTTTAAGCCCAAGCCATAGACGTAGTCAGGTCAAAGGGAAACCCCAAATCATATGTAGCTTTTGCCTAGAAAGGGAGGGGGCCCAATAAGGATGTCTAGGGCAATTGGTTTAAATTGGGGCTGGGACAGGAAAGCGGGGGAACTTGCAATCCATTCTTTGAAAAACTGGGACAATTCAAAGGGTAAACTTTTAAAAGTTTGCAAGGGGGGGGTTTTCATCTTTCTGGGGATGGAGGGGTTTTGCATTAGCCATTTTCGATTGGGGGGGTTTAATTGGTGACTTGTCTGGGAAATTTTAAACTGATAGTTTTATAGAGGTATGGGTTTTTGTGGGAAAAATCAGCCTCCCATTTTAGGGTTAAAAATAACAGATTTTACCGGGTTTACCTCAAGGAAATTTTTAAAAAAAACAAAAATTCAAAAAAAAATTTGCTAAAAAAAAGGAAAATTTAAAACTGATCAAAAAAACAAAGAGAGATAGTAGAGGGCAACGAGGGGACTAGCCCCCTTAAGGTTTACTTTACAAATAGCAGGAGTCTAAAAAAAATAAATAGGACTACAATTACTTGCAATGGGAGGAATATAGAATTATTTCTATAAAAAGAAAACCTGGTTCAACTTGAAAGATAGAAAAAATACCCCCCGAAGCAGCATGAAAGGGGGGATAAAAAATTTCCTTTTGATAGGGTCAATTGGAAGGTGAGGATTGGGGGATGTAAGTCAGGTTTTAATTTAAATTTTTTGTGTTAGACAAAAATAAGCGAGGAACATGGGAAAAGAATCTTTTGGGTAAAGTTTCTCGAGGGTCGTGAAAAGTTAATTTTGGGGGTGATTTATAGGCCCCCCAAAACCCTTTAAAAGGGGGAAAGCAGTAACCAATATGGGACGAAATTCCCAAAAGGGTTTTGATACGAAAATTTGTGTTAATGGGGGGATTTTAAATTTAGCAAATTTTATTTCCCCAAAAAGACAAAAAATCTTGAGTCTATGGCTTTCTTTATTTGTTTTTTTAGGTAAGACACTAAAGCAAAAGTTAGGTATCTTTTTTTTTTGTGGAAAAAAGTTCGCCTACACAGTAGGTTTTCAGTCAAATACAGAAAAATTTAAAGGGAAAAAAAAAAGATACCCTTTAAGACGATGTAATCAGTCCATCCCCTTTGTTTTGAGGTGGTCAGTCCCCCAGTCTGGAGAAGGGCTGTTTTTCATAGGGGTGAAACAATAGGGGGAAAAAGTGACAGGTTGGGGCTTTTTTAGCGGCCCAAAAGGTGAACGTAGGCCCCTTGGAGAGGGAAAAAACTCAGATGCTGGGAGGTCAGGTTTCCCCCCAAATTCAGCCGCTCTTTAAAACCCACTCACCTACCCGACCCCTAGTCGGGCTTCCCCAAATTTTCCCCCCCCAGGTAATTTTTCCCGGGCTCATAAAACGGCCCAAACGAAAAATCTGGGGCAAGGGTTTGATTGTAGTTCTTCAAAGGGAACTCCAAAGATTAAAATTGAAACTAAGTGATTTGTGACGCTTTTCCCCAAGATTATTTTAAATGTGATTCTTTCTTGGCAAAGCCAATCAATTTGATTCTTCCTCTAGTTGGTTCTGGGCAAAAAAATGTTTTAAAAAAGCAATCTGAACCACTTTGACAATTTCTTGATTGGTTTTGGATTTTTTTTAAAAACAGTTTGTGACAGAAACCCCAAATAGAGGAAAAAATTCTTGGCTTGGGCCCCATGCCAAGAAAGAATCACTAGTTAATTTAAACTTGGGGAAAACGTTACAAATCACTTAGTTTCAATAAAATCATTTTGGAATTTTCCTGAAGAACTAAAAACAAATCTCGTCCCAAACTTTTTCTGGCCTTTTTATTGGATGAAAAAAAATTTCCCGGGTGGGCTAAAATTTGGGATGTCCTGACATGGGGGGAGGTTTGGTTTATCTTGGTTTCCCAAAATGAGTTTTTTAGAGCATAGTTTTAGCTGCCCCGAAATTTTTTTCCCAAATGGGAAATTTGATCTAACAAAAATTTTCCCAAAGGTTTAAAAAAAAGATTTTAAAAAATCTCTTGGTCCCAAAAAAAAAAGGGGAAAATATAGGGTATCAAAAAAGGGAAGGGGGAGTTAAGAAATTAAAAATATTAAGAAAATAACTTTAAAAAGGAGGAACACTGAGCAGGGCCCGTTGGCCCATACTAGGGGAGGTTTCCCTTTTTAAAAACCCTTCCCCCTAACAAAATATTTGCTCAACCCCAAATTTTTTAATGTACGTAATCCACTCATATCCCAAACCCCCCTGATCTTTTTTTACTAACCTTTAAATTTTTAAACTACCCCAAGTTTTTTTTTTCAAAAACCCCCACAAGGGGTACTGTTTCATAATTTACTACCCTATTTTCCAAAAACCAAAAAAATTTCCCCATTTCCTTTTTTTTTCTAAATTATTAATTTGAAAAACCATTATTGTGGGTTCTTTCTTGAAGGGATATCCTCCAAACCTTATTTATATCCCCTTTGTTAATACCCATCTTCCACTCATACACTTCGATCATGTCTCCTCTCATTCTTCGTCTTACAAGTGAATGTAGTGTAAGAGTCTTCAATCGTTCTTCATACGGAAGATTTCTAATGCTATGTATTAATTTGGTCATTCTACACTGGATGTTTTCTAGCGAATTTATATCCATTCTGTAATATGGAGACCAGAACTGAGCTGCGTAATCTAGGTGAGGCCTTACTAATGATGTATAAAGCTGTAAAATAACTGCTGGACTTCTGTTGCTTACACTTCTTGATATAAATCCTAGTAATCTGTTTGCTTTGTTACATACACTTAGGCACTGCTGTCTTGGTTTAAGGTTGCTGCTTACCATAACCCCCAAATCCTTTTCGTAATCTGTATGGCTAAGTTCTACGTTATTTAACTGATAAGTACTAGGGTTATGGGCACTCCTGAGCTTCAGAACCTTGCATTAATCTACATTTAACTGCATCTGCCACTTTTCTGGCCAGGAATTGAGTTTGTCTAAATCCTCCTGAAGTTCCGTGACATCTACGTGTAAATCAATCATCCTACCTATCTTTGTGTCATCGGCGAATTTGCTTATATCACTAGTAATTCCCTCATCAAAGGGCTTTTAAAATATATTATAAAAAAAACAATGGGCCCAAGGCTGATCACTTTTGGAACGCCATTTGTTAAAAAATCCCCAACGGATTTAAACCCCATTTTAAACAAAACTCTCTGCTTCTTATTTGGGGAAACCCCTGAAACCCATCCATTTACGCACTTTTTTCCCCCAATGCAATGAGCTGCCCCTTTCTT